TAAAGGAGGAGAGTTAATAAGACGAAATGCCTTTGATGCCACCCTATCTAATAGTTGGACAGAAGAAGAGCCACCCCAGATATGAGAGCAGTACTCCAAGTAAGGACAAACACACACGTTATAGCAGAACTCACTGTATTAAACTTTAATAATCGAAAAATTCCATTCACTCCGGCTGCAGTGGCTGGGCCTTCTCCATCGCCTCAACGTGATGCTGGTTGCCCTTCATAAACATCAGCCTCTCAAAGTTGCCATCTGACAGGGTGGCTCTCTTGGCCCTCAAGATATCTTTACACGTACTAACAGCCAGTCAGCCAAGCGTGCCTGACTGGCTGTTGGAGACACGCGTCGCGGCGTCACACCTTATAACAGACAGGAACAAACATGTATAAATTTTGTTAGCGGAACTAAATTTAGCGGAATCTAATTGATCCGCTAATGGTTTCCAAAGTTAGTGAAAACGCTAATCCGCTAACGAGAAAGTTAGCTTTGCTAATTAGCGGTTAGCGGAACCGTGCCCACCACTGCTTATATTGTTTCTCACTCTTGATTTTTTTTTAATTTGGTATTTCTTTATTGTTCTTTATTATTATTATTATTATTATTATTATTATTATTATTATTATTATTATTATTATTATTATTATTGCATTTTCACCCCCGAGGCCACGATGTGGGTCAGTGACCTGTGCCCAGGTGGGCTAATCCCCGTATAAAAAAAAAAATTATACTGTACAGTACTTGTAGTTCAGATTCAGTAGAGAGAGGAAAGGTGGAGTGTACAGCTGTACACGATTTTTAAGACTCTTTGGTTGATTTTTTACAATAGCCAGATTGGGGTTGCTCTGTGTGCATGCATGTGTGTGTATGTGCACCAGTATACTGTACATGTCTATAAGAGGGAGGAACATAACTTGAACACATACTGTACTGTATGTAACAATATATTTCAACCAAACACACTGGGATTTGTCTTTCATTGACTAGTTATAGGTACTGTACATATCACCACAGAATGTGAGACAAATTTGGTGCAGTAATCAGTATTTTCTTTTTGTTTCTAATGTTCAGAGTTATGGCGCCTTGGACTGTACAGTATATAATGGCCTCCTTCAGTGGCAGACTCGTGTGTTTAACAGAAACCTATAAATATTTTGTGCTAAAAGGTACAGTATCTTGGTGTACCTAGGGCAAGTATTAGAGAATATTAATTGAATATTAAGACAGTGATTAGTTTTGAATTGAATTGAAACAGTTTATTAGTGTGATTCCTTTTTTGTGTCAAGTTGTGACATAGGTTATGTAGGTAGCTAATTTTTTAGAAAACTGTTGATCATATTTCCGGTTCCCAATAGATTACTTTTTTTTCTTCTTTTTTACTTAGAAGGTTGCAAGGGAAGATGTACCTAACAGCAACGACGCACAGTGATGCTGCCGACACTGTGCCCCTTAATCAAGTGGAGTTTGCCTTGCACTGTGTAGGTGAGAATATTAATTTGTGGATATAAGGTGATGTCTGTAGGGAAATATATAGAGGGAGAGAGAGAGAGAGTTTTTTAATATGTATGGTATTCTGATTATGTTATGACTAGTAGTGGATTATTACAGTAGTGTTATGTAAAAGTTGTGAGGAAGGAGCTTTGTATGTTGGTGTGAGTTTCAGTACAGTACAGTATATACAGTAGCTAGTAAAAGGAAGATATTAGGCAGGAGACATCGAGAGCAAGAAGAGAGGAGACAGAGAAGGAATAATGTTAAAACACTTTGAAACAGGTCAGTTCCCTCGTTGTGCCCCGCCAGGTGTAACTTTGCCGGGCAGTATACAGCAGTTGAAGTAAAATAGAAATAAGTGTTTGTTAGTGAGACAGACCAGTGATTCATGTTAACATTGTACACACACTTCTGCAAGTACCGGTACTAAATGGTCTACGGGGATAAGAAATAGCCCTGTATGGTTCAGTGTTTATTTTTACTGGTATGCACTGTACTCACTGTCTGTATATCAGTCTGTTGTAGTTTCTTATCAGTTTTATACCACAGTACATGTAACATTAGGATTCAGCTATCCACTATAGTGTTGAATATCATCCTTCCTCCACCTGTACTTGTTTCAGTCTTCCCTTCACTATATACTGTACCTCGTGTTATGGTTCCCTCCTAATATATAATGTGTAAGGACCAGCTTATTACAGTTTACCCCAGCATATTGTGTGTGTAAGGACCAGCTTATTGCAGTTTACCCCAGCATATTGTGTGTGTAAGGACCAGCTTATTACAGTTTACCCCAGCATATTGTGTGTGTAAGGACCAGCTTATTGCAGTTTACCCCAGCATATTGTGTGTGTAAGGACCAGCTTATTGCAGTTTACCCCAGCATATTGTGTGTGTAAGGACCAGCTTATTGCAGTTTACCCCAGCATATTGTGTGTGTAAGGACCAGCTTATTGCAGTTTA